TGTTTAATCAGCTCATCACCGTTTCTACTTAGAAAATTGGAGCTGTTTTAAAAGCAAGTTTACTATTTTTTCTCAATATATGAACTTAGCAACACATTAGCTAAGTCTACATATTGAGAAAAAACAGTAAATTTGCTTTTAAAACAGCTTCAATTACTACGAGTATTACTCGTAGTAATTTATATCGAGTTTTTATAATTTTTAATATTCCAATATACGAAAGAAACTTAACAAAGATGTTTCAAATTTAATATTTGTGGGGTCTAATTTGGTTTTCAATTTCTTAACGGATATTAGCTTAAGAAAGTTTTGGTTAAATTTGCATAATCATCAAGCACTTGATCTTGCCTGTGCAACACATTTAGAAACAGATAGTAATCACTAGAGTTCGGATTTTTATACAGTAAAATTACTGAAAATATGCGCATATATGTTTAAGAGAAAAATATGCAGTTTTTTACTAAATATGCTTAATTGTGCAGAATTTTAAGGATGAAAAATTGCAAGCACTCAAAAAAAAACGAAGATATTTAAATAATTTTTCAACACATAAGAAATAGAAATAAAACACAAAAATTTTAATTTACATTGCAAGTTATACTATATAAACTATCTATAGATAGGTAAGTAGATAATTATCAAGTAGTCACAACTATTATTAATCAGTAATCACACCTTCTTCACTTCACTTACATTTTCTGTCACTAAAATAATAATCTTAGTCACCCAAATTGAATTTTATAACTTCACACACAAAATGCGTGGAAAAGTTTTTCTTGTTCGGAAATCACGTATTAGGGTACGTTCTGTTAAATAATGATAAATCATTGTTATACACAAGAATATTCTTTAATACGTGTTTCAGCAAGATTTTTGAGATAAATGATAATGTTTCGATGATTTATTGGGTAGGCTCTCTGGTGAAGAAAACAACCCAACTCAATTTCCAACGTTAAATTTTTTCTCTATTTTTCTCAAGTATTGACAAACTTGTTATCTCTGTAATAAATGGATTGTACAAGAAAACTAAACAAAGCTGAAGGTTCACTGACCAGTATTTATAGGAACATATGTATTAGTGACATTATTCCACAGGTAAAACGTTTTTGATTTTTATAATTATAACATAATAAGATTTTTTAAAAAATTATCGTGTAAAAATAAAGAAAACATATTACATATTCTAACAAGCTTAATTTTAATTTAACCAGCTCGTGTTGGTTTTTTATGTTGCGTATTATAACTCCAAACTTATTACCGTTGGAGAATTAAAAATACGTCTTCAATTCTAAACCTTGCTGAAAAACAATAAAGGTGCATTATTAAGAATTCTGCTGAGGTAATATATCAATCGAAACCATTCAGCTGTGTCCGATAGCTAATATTCTCCCAAAAGTAACACAGTGTATTAAGCGCTTTAGATTGTGTCAAAGATATGAAATTCTATCGATCTCTTCCACCAATTTGGTCATACTTTTATGATGATTTTTTTCTCTTAACAATGAACCCACACAAGTCGCGACAAAAGGCTACTTCAAAACTTTCGGATATTTCACATAAAAAGCGTTCGTCCAGTCACTGTTCCTCATTTAATGGATGACAGGTTTCAATAGTGAATTTATTGGGGTGTCCAATAGAATTATTAAATGTGTCTGTTAAATAGTCTGGGCATGTGTTGGAAAGGTGGATCAATGAAAAATTGTATCGCTCCATAATGACTAGCCTAAGTAGGGTGGGATAATTAGTTTCTGTTGTTTCCTAATTAGGTACGCGATGGCGACAGATTATTTTGTACATCAAGTTTCAATTAGATTTGCATCAAATTATTTCTTAATGTGTTGCTCTCCTGAGTACATTAATATCAATTTTATGAAGAATTTTTTACATTATAGTTTTACACCAACATTTATTACTGTTTTTCTCTTTGTTTTTACTTCTCTACTTATTGATTTATGACTTTATGATTGTATGGCAAAGTGCATAAACCATGTGTAATGTGTGCGTTTGGAATAATTCATAAAGGGTTTATCTTGCATTAAAATACCGCAGAGACAATAAATTGCAGCACAAAACCAAATGCAATTGCGTAACAATTCAAACACTACTATTTCTACAGGTTTTACTCTTAGACTAAATCATTTTCCTATGTAGAGCAAATCTCGAAGGAGATTTTAATCATTCAAAACGTTTTTGCACTCATCTAGGGATATTATCACACAAAGCTTTATTAATTACTCCACAGCAAAAGAAATTTATGGATACTGTAATTAACAATTTTAACAGAAAAAAAAAAAGAAAACACTAGTAACTTTTATTTGCAAATTCTGACTTTAGTAAAACTCTACGAGATCAAATTTAGAAAGAAGATTATTTTGGTAAGAAAACGTAGATTTGTAGCGGTCACAAATGATAATAAAAAGATGTGTTAAGTGTTTCCGCTCATAAACTTTAGCTATTACAAAGCAATAACTTCTTATGATGACCACTAACAAGATAAAATTTTGTCTTTGTTTACTTAGTTTGTACAAATCTTGAAACTTGTAGAAATAATGTTAACTTTAAACTAAACTTGTTTGAATAAAGTTAATTGTTCAAGTTTTGATAATAATTACAACAAACTAATGACTTCGGGCATAATTAACAATATGGCTATTGCTGTTTTGTGCCTATTCTGGTCACATCTAAAGATCTAACTGTGTCCCTTGTAAGTTGTAAATTAATTCCGACCAATTCCACTAAAGAACTTTACCTTTGCCTAATTTATGGTGGTTTGTACCCGGTTAGATTGGAATTAGTAGAACTCTGAATAGATAAGGTTCCGGTGATAAATAATATATGATGGACTTCATTCCAATTCCGGTAATTTAAATCTTGCATTGCGGGAACGAGCAATTGAGCACAAAACAAATAAGAAATGTAGCATTGGTATCGCAGCATCGTGAATTTTGCATAAAGCCGAGGCGTTTTACAAGACAAAACCTTTTTGAAGAATGACACGAATTCATTTTATAGTCTGAAAATGTGTGATTGAGTATTCAAGAAACCGCATTAGCATATTTTTAAATGAGTTCTTTCTTGGTAAAATATTCTCGGAGTGGTATAGGATTAATGAATTTGTATATACAGGTGTGCCAGAACTCGCGCTCCAGAGAAAAATGCCATATAAGGTAAGTTATGAGGGTTTAAATTTTCTACTTTGACTCTATTTATTTCTGTTGGAAAAATAATTTCCAAGTTTTTTTGCTACAGGCTTTTGGAAGAGGAAACAAGGAAGCTGTATCCTAAATTGTGACTTTGTTCAATATTATTTGTGGCCTTTATTGGCAAAACTGGTGTACCTTTACTAAATAATTTAAAAAAACATATACAAGATTATCAGTATCATTAAATAGACATAAAAAAATGTCAAATGTCAAAAAATTTTGACAGATAGAATTTTGGTATTTTATCTTACTTGAAATTTTTCTCTGAGGCGCAAATTCTGGTGCACCTGTAGATGTGTCTAGAAAACAATAAATTTTTGATCCCAATGAGTACCTTGCCTTATGTTGCCCATTGGGTTCTTGGTTATAAAACTAGTTTTGCTTTGCTGTAGATGTTTTACTTTATTGATACAACTTTATACACAAGAGAATTTATACAGGGGGTTTCACATAACTTTACGAGGTTTGCGCCTAATGTACGCACCCAAATATACGAAATTCACAAAACACTAGATACAAAAAACTGAAAAAATTAAATTATTAATTAATAATTAAATTATTTAATTTTTGGAAACCCATGACAGTAGTTGTCAAACTAATCACTGTTTCATTAATAGTCATAAGCTGCAGTTTTTCAGAAACAATTATCATTTGTTCTATCAAGAGACAGCATGAATATGATTCTAAGATAGGTAATCTTAATCACTTACTAAATAAAAACGTGGTAATTTTCGAAAGGGTGAACAATATAGATAAGATTATCCAATTTTTAAAAGCTTGTAATCGAGTTCGTGTCGGAATATGTATAATTGATTACATCTTATAGAATAATTAATTATTATTGTACGCCTGTGTTGGTTGCCAGCTCTTTGCTGCATTTTAAGAATTTTCAATTGGAGACCAAATCATGAAAGACTTATAATACAACCTATACATAATGGGTTGGAATTATAACGTAAAAATTTGAATTTTTAATAATACTAGCTTATTTTGGTTTGTTTAAAATTGTTAAATACCACCTAAACAAACAACTAAGCTAAATTAGAATTTGCTTTTAATAGATTTATAGCATGTAAATGCTTGCAAAAAGCATGTGTTGTTTATGTACGACTGAACCAAAAAATTAAACTTAGTTATGGAGTTATAAAATATTTCAGATTTCACCTTACGTCCTACGTTATTATTTAAATTTTACCAACTAATTTGTAATTTAAATAAAACACTGCATTAATATTATGTTTAAATACTTCTGTTTGGGGTTGTTAACTTGCTAATACATGCTAAAGAAAGTTTTGAATGCTGTAAGGGTGCTGATAATTCGATGTTATCTTTTACATGCCATACACGTTGAATTAATTTATACATATTTTTTGTGTATTATAATTTTGCATTTAGGGCAACGGAATTTTATTATTTTTTTTTAAATACTGAAAGTACAATATAAAGAAAATGCATTGTACAAAGAAACAGAGAAATGAAGTAATAATGAAAATTAGCCATTATTTTTTTATCTTTTTAACTCAACAAAATAATGTCTTTGTGACTCATTCACACATATGATTTTCAGGAAAAATATTCGCTTTCTAACTGCGCGTAGCGTTCGTTTAGAATTCTAAAGACGATTTATTTATTTCCGTAGCTCCCGGTCTAAAAATAGTAACCAACATTTAAATTAAGAAAACTCATGAATATCACGCAAGCAAGATACACCTCTAGATAAGCATGCACTCAAGCAACTAGTTGTTTATTCATCTTTATTGTGATTATAGGGAAAACCACAATCGACAAAAGCAAGTATAATATGAACCACTTAAAATTTTATTTCTTACATTTATACTACTAAAATACAACAAGTTTTGCCATCAATGCATCCTTTACGACCTAGACTTAGATACTTGGGACATTGTTCAGAGCAGGCGTGGTGGAGTTGGTGGCAGTTTACGTCTTCTTCCGGAACTAAAAAAAAACTTAACCAAAAGTCTAACACAAATGTAAAAATTACAGTTTGGACAGCAAACAGCACCGTCTTTTTTCTGGCCAGCACACAGGCCTTTCTGGTCTTCGCTTACTGAATGTGGACATTCGGATTGCAGAACACAGTATCCTCCCACCTTCGCGCAAGGCTCTTCTCTGTAAAAGTTTGATTCTGCAAGAAATGAAATTTATATTACGTGACAGAAACTTGAAAGGAATTTTTTTCAATTAAGATACTTATTAATTTTGTTGTTCCATTGAAAATAATTGAACTTACCTATCGCCAGAGCGCTGGCAACGATGACGCAAAAAGCAAACACCACACGCACCATTCTGTACTTTCCCCTCTGACTACACCAACACAAGTGTTTTCTTGGAGGATTTATAGGAATTTCAAATCAGTAGGATTCCCACTTTTTGTTTATGAAATTCTTATCTTCAATACTGCGATAAATTTTTCGCTGCTACTGACATTTGCTTCGTGGAAGGAGAGAAAGTTGGTGATACAATATTTCTGTCACACTTGGTCTATTTGCATATCCTCTTGATAATATTGTGCAACCCGTAGGTAAATATACATAAAAATCCAAGCTGCTATTATTATTAATTATCCAAGGCTTTATCGGTCGTCGTAACTTTAAAATAAACTTTTTATTTTGATATGATTTTCATAATAGCCGCTGATAAGGTGGTTTGTTTATATTTACATACAGAGGCGCGATAATAAATTCGAATTGCCAGTCAAATGTGCTATAGCTCGTTTTAATCAATTTTTAAATGCAATCAAAGAAAATGAGGTCATTTGATGGCTATTAAAGTATTGAATCGTGAAAATTTAAATTTATCGATGCAAAGATGAACGAATCGGTTTCAAACTCGGTTTCAAATATGTAACTGAAATTTGTATTAAGTTGGAGCTTGGAAGTCTCGCATTTCAGAAAACAGGGTATTATAAGCTAGCAACTTGAAATAGATTCCTTCAGATTTCAGGACATTGAGTGAATTAAGCAAAACAGTATATCGAACAGAAAAGTTTAGAAAAACACAGAACTTGTTGAGTGCAGCAATTATTCAAACTAATCATTCTGTCCTGCTATATTTCCATACAGAGTGCGCCAGAACTCGAGTCCCAGAGAAAAATGCCTTATAAGGTAAGATATCAGGAACATGGAAAAAATGTTACAAAAAATTATACATAAAAATTTCGAAGTTATGAGGGTTTAAATATTGCACCTTGACTCTATTTATTTCTGTTGGAAAAATAATTTTCTAAGTTTTTTTGCTATAGACTATTAAAAGAGCTGTATAATTATAACTCTGTTTAATGTTATTTGTGACTTTTATTGGCAAAATTTGTGTGCTTTTACTAAATAAATGTAAGAAAAACATATACAATATCATCAGTATCATTAAGCAGACATAAAAAAATGTCAAATGTCAAAAAATAAATGTCAAAATTTTTGGACAGATACAAATTTTTTAACATTTTTTTCATGTTCCTAGTATCTTACCTTACTTGAAAATTTTTTCTGGGGCGTGAGTTCTGGCGCACGCTGTATACAACGTGCTCCAGCTATAACTTTCTCTTCCAATACATGTATGTTTAATAATAATTTCTTTTTATGTCAAGCTCTATTTGATGTTTAGGACATTATTTATCTCGAAAATTTATTAGAAACCAAGTCTTTTTAAACTATTTACTTTCAAAAAAAACTAATTGGTGAATCATAAAGTAAAGTAAAATTCGACCCATGCAATGAAGACTATCGTAACTCATTTTATATTCAATTGAGAAATAAACACTTAAAGATTTTATGCTAGTATTAATTTTAACAAATGGCTGTATCTATGTAGAAATTTCTGTGTGGCTGCTACTCAATTTCTTTACAGTGTTATGAATGAATTAGCTAATTGTTCATTCATAACCAAAAAAGATTTTTATTTAGGTCAACTGAAATCTGCTGCAATTTTTTGAAATACGATTGTCTTCGTTGACTGGGTCGAATTGCTTTTGATGTGACCTAAGTCATACTTTCTTCCATCTAACTTAACAGAAAAGAGTTGTTTAAAAACAACATTTACGTAAAAGAAAATTGACAATTGTAAGCTATTTTTACATTTGTGCTGGGAACGCAAAAAAAACGAGAAATAAATATTTCGTCTAGTTTTATTCTGTTTGGATAATAAAACTTCGACTCTAGACAACTAAAATAAATACGATAGTGACCAAGAAAAGTCTATAAATATCAGATATAAACCATAAATAAGTTTTGCAAATTTAAACTTACCGCCAATAAACAATACATAGCTAGCGCGGATTAGAAGTTTTATTAATAGAGGGCTCAAGAGTCAAACTAATTTGAAAATTAAATTTTACAGTTCAAACAAAATATTATAGAATCTTTAGATTATAAGAGTTATTTGCAAGTGATGGAAAGGTGAAAACCGAGATAAACACAGCAAAATTATTAAATTAACCAAATAATTGTGTTAAATGATACACCATAAATGATCACCAGAGGTCGCTGTCGATTCAATTTAAATCGTATTGGCTTAAGTCAAAATCATAGCAACCGTTACATCAACCAGAAATTTACTTCTTAAAATTGCTATTTGTGCGACATATTCACTAAACACCAACAATGAAACTCAATATTTCGTATCCCGCCACTGGCTGCCAGAAACTTATCGAAATTTGCGACGAGCCGAAGCTCCGCATCTTTTACGAGAAACGCATGGGCCAGGAAATCGACGCTAGTCCTTTAGGCGATCAATGGAAAGGCTACATCTTGCGAATCTCCGGAGGCAACGACAAGCAAGGCTTCCCCATGAAACAGGGCGTTCTCACCTCCACTCGCGTCCGTCTCTTGCTCTCTGGGGGGTCCTGCTACCGACCTCGTCGTGATGGCCAACGCCGCAGGAAATCGGTGAGGGGCTGCATTGTGGACGCCAACTTGAGTGTGCTGTCTTTGGTGGTGGTGCGCAAGGGCGATTGCGACATCTCGGGGCTGACGGACGTCACGGTCTTGAGAAGGTTGGGGCCCAAGAGGGCTTCGAATATTCGTAAGTTGTTCAATTTGAGCAAGGAGGATGATGTGAGGCAGTACGTGGTGAAGCGGCCGCTCCCGGAGAAGGAAGGAAAGCGCCAGAGATTCAAGGCGCCGAAGATTCAGAGGTTAGTTACGCCGATAAGTTTGCAAAGGCAGAGAAGAAGATTGGCGTTGAAGAAGAACAGATGTTTGAAGAAGAAAATGCAAGTGCAGGCTTTCAATAAGCTGCTAGCGCAGAGGAAGAAGGAGTTCAAGGTTAAGAAGCAGGAAATGAAGAGACGAAGGTCGGCGAGCTTGTCGGCAAGACAGGTGGAGAAGTAGTTTGACTATAATTTTACTTAGGTAATTTAAAATCTTCACTGTGTGTTTATTATAGTATAAGTTTTGTTAAAAGTTAAAAGTTTTAATAAATCTTTTTAATTTCAGTAACAAATAAAATTTTGTGCTTTCGGTATCTACCTATAAATTTGAGATTAAGTTAATAGCCATAATCTACTACTCAGATTATCATGTTAATGGATTTATAATGAAATATAGGAAATTGTAAGAATGTTGACACTAAATGTTTTTTCTTCTGAAATTTTCTGTAGTAAATCCTAAACTAGTCCGTAAAAAAGTTTTTTATAGACTCATGTGTCATTTAAATCCAACTAACACTACACCAATTTACTGTTAACGTGTTAGGTAAATACGTGTAGTTACAGTTGTGAAATTCTTTTATTTTGGTTCAAATTTGAATGCAATTAATTAATGGATGTGTTTGTATAATCTTGGTTGGTATTTGAATTTTCATTAAATGAAAAAAAAATGCAATTTCATACACTACTTATAGGATTATTCTTTATATTCATGAAAAAAAATCCAATTTAAGTGCAAGTACTTTTCTCGTATCGAAAAGAACACTGGAGAAATGTTATCGTAGAACTGCAATAAAAATTTTCTTCTTTTCATGAATTGCTTAGCATGGACTGCGACAGTAACAATGCTTTTGTCTGCTTTCTTATCTCATTGCTTCTTATTTTTCAGTGTTGTGAACAATGCATAAACACATTTATGTTTAAAATTCAAGAAAACATTTTTAAAAGAATACTATGTAAATGGGTGATTTAGTATTTTATACAAAATAGTTTTGGCTACACTTCCACTCATCGCATTTAATAAATGTTACATTTATGTCTTTCTATAGCTTTTAAACAAATGATGTTTTTTAAAAAATACGCTTTTGAATTTAGCATAACTACTTCGGAAAAGTTTATAGAGATTAATTAAATTGATAAGAAATAAATGAATTGAAGTTCAAAGTTAAATAAAAAGGGTTGAAATACGAAATTATGTTTGTTTATCTACACATCTACAAGCTTTGAATTGTAAATAATGACGCAATAACATAATTAGAAATTAATTAATTATTTATCAATTAACAAAAAAATTAAAATCATCAAAAGATATAAACTAATTACTAGAAAGAGTGACATGTATGAATTTAATTAGACTTAAGACTGATGTGATTAATTCCAAAATGTGTTTGAGACATATTCTCTTGTAAGCTTATTTTATGGATCATTTATTAATAATTTCTAAAGGAAATTATTTTATTCTATGAAATCGTAGTTCTGAGCATAAATTAATTTACCATACTGCGTTGGATGAAAATAATAAAAGAACGTAAAAAGCTATCACAAAGTTTTAACTGACTCGTCGAATAAATTTAAGCTGGAAGAATTTTTTTATCTGTTTATTAATTACCATGTTTCTAAAATGATGAATGTCTTTTTCTTTAATTTTTTTATCGTCTCGAATTTTTACTGATTTATAATTTTAATAAAATTGTCATAAAAAACGTTTTAATTTATTACTTTCTTTATACATTACTTTCATTACGACTCATTAAATACTTGGAGGCGTCACAATAATAGATATAATAAAACTTAAACATTGCGGTCTTATTTAAAGTTACATGAACGAGCAAAAGCTTTTCTTCTTTAATTAAGAGCAACTATAATGTACAGATTATATTCTTGTACTCGTAATCTTATTCTTGAACGCTTTTTAATTTATAACAATAGAAAAACCAAGCTCTTCCAATCTTGATTACCTCCTAAAGCTCTCCATCAATTTATCACTTAACAATGAATAAAAGACGTAGCCAAAGTGCCATCACCTTACTGTAATGAATAAAACCCAACACTTTGTAACTTTCAGAAAATGCATCAAATTAATCGCGTTATTTTTCTTCAACAAAAAATGTCACCCAGAGCACATTAGTAGATAGCTACATCAATTAATTACAAGTGGCGTAGTTGAATATTTATGTTTTAATTCTTTGTTTAAAGTGACATTTCTTCAGGTATTACGCGTACTTTTATGATTTATTAGATAATTTGTTTTTAATTGGATTTATGACTGCGGAAAGTCATTAAGAATTGTTATGATTACTGTTAAGTAATTCAGTTTTACGGTTGTGGCTTCAAAGCTTTGCCTTTTTTTATCTTTTTAAAAATTAATAATGGTAGAAACATCGTTAACAATGAAATTTTCACCAAAAATTTCGTGCGGAAAATTGCCTGCAACCACTGGGGTTGGTATGATGAATGCTAACAGAGGGCAACCGTCGATTATTCGGGCGTAATATGACCCAAAACGCAGGAGGAATTCCAGTTGCACCCTATTTGTTTATTCATTTGGAATAAATGAGTTTTGTTCACCAACGGCAAAAAGCGTTTTATTAATTTATCAATTGATTTTAATGGATACTTTCGCATTGCTTTATAAAATGGAAATTTGTTCAAAATGACTTTTGTGGAGGAAAAACATGATGAAATCTCCGAGAATATTTAAAAAGTTGGAGGCAGAATTGTCGTTGTAACAGCTTTCGGTAGTCAATAAAAAGCTGCGTGGCATCTGGGATTTTGTTATTATTTTATCTAGAACACAGTCATTTTATCGCTGAAGATTATTTTTTGTGACGTTCCACATATTGGATTGACGATTTTTAAGCACAACGATAAGAGGATTGCTTTTTATAAACATTGCGAAGATGTAGTTGGCTCATTATTTTTCAACGTTGTGGAATACCAGGCTTTAGAAGGTCGGGGGGATTGTTTGATAAGACAAAGGTGTCCAACAGGTTCAAACAGATTTACACTAACCCGGGATCAATATAAACCTTGTTTGGGTGTTTTAGGACTTGCAAAATAAATGTGTAATTTTACATCCTTTTATTTATTGTTTTATCATTTTGTTTATACACACCTAAAGTTAAACTTGTTTAAAGTTAAACAAGTTTTATTAATTAGATAGAGGACGGAGTGATGTATAACTTTCATAACTAATTCCAGATGTAACTTTTGTGTTAAAAAGTTCAACATCAGGGACTGTAAATTTTAATTGAAACTCACATACACGCTAGCCGATGAATGTATCGTAAAAATTCAAATGTATTTCTCACAAAAAAAATAATTCGTTTTGTAGGGTGGCAAAGTAATTTGACTTTAAACTATCTAGAAAAATATAGGAAATATTAACAAGCTTGGAAAAATATTACTTATTTTTTAACTTGCCCCTTGAGGTATAAAATCGACTTGGAAATGGGATGAAACTAAGCGACTAATACCTATTACCATTATTTATACAGCGGGTTTGCAAACATAGAGAAAATACATTTAATTTCCTTCCGCTTGTTCCTGTTTAATAATATAATCTTATTTTCATGTTTTCTGAATAGTTAAACAAAATATGTATGTACATACATTTTAAATGTATATTTGGAAACTGGAAACGAGAAGTAGATGGAAAATAAAAGCTATCGTTTTGGCATAATCACTTTAATTAATGAATAGCAATTATTTATGGGATTTATGGAAAAAGGACTTTTTTCCATAAAATAGTCACGTAAAAAAATTAAGCTACTTTAGCATAGATGGCACTAGATATAATACAAAAAAAAATATTTGTTAAATTTGTGTGATATTATTAGTACAGTAAAATCTCCCTTAACGGACACCTCTAAATGGAGGATACCTCTTGATAACGGACATTTTTGTAGGAACGTAACTAATAGGGAAATTTTCCCCAATTACCATAATCTCATAAATTTACCTCCTACAACGGACAGACCCCACACAACGGTTTACTCTACAACAGGTCGTATAAGATTCAATGATTAAATTAATGAGTTGCAGAATACAGAATAAAAGAAAAACTTATTATTATTAGTAACAAACTCTAAAACATAATAAAAAAACTTTTGGTATAAACAAACAAACAAAAATTAACGATGTTTTAAATAAAAATGTTTTTTTCAATTTTTTTGTAATGCTTGTAAGAAGATGAATTGTTATCAACAGCAGACCTATTGTATCAGAGCAAAAATTACACTGAACAATTTTTTCCAAATTTAGCTAATAAATTATGATGCAGGTGTTGCATAGAGTTCTGTTACGCAGTACTTACTTTTTCTTTGATTTGGGTAAAAAACACCGAATTTAGGTTTAAACTTTAATTTCAAGTAAATTTCAACGTAATATATTTTAACAGTGTGACTTACGCTCCCTTTGATTACAGTTTTTTATTGGTAGGTAACGACGTAAAGGCAGGGCATTAATCAAGTTATAATTTAAGAACTGTAATTTTATAATAATTTTGTTTTTGTTATTTTAAATAAATGGCTTTTCAATTTTTTTTTACAAATTCAGCACACCTCTCATTAAGGGACACCTCTTCACAACGGACAATTAAAGATTCTCCATCGGTGTCCGTTTTTGAGTGGTTTTACTGTAGTTTTAAATCTTTTGATAATGCAATAAATTGTTTACAAAGGAAGGTTAATGACGTGTTTTTTACGCTGACCTCTTGTGAACAGTATACAAAGTTTTTGAACACCTGAAGACGGATACACGTTGCTACTGGGGCAAATTATAGGAGTAGCACATAATAGTTTTACAAAATATGTGCAAGAATGTGTTTCAAATAATGTCTAGTTGTCAAAGAACTTTTGATTTAATTTGGTCAACGTGAAATTCACCAAAACTGTAATGTTTTGAGGTCATATTCTCGATATGACGTTGGTGTTAAAAATCAGGACTAAGCTTGTAGGCAAATTTGATCCTTAGTCGCAAGAACACACGGAAAACTTTTTTTGAAAAGAATCCCAAACTGATTTAATTATCTCCGTCTTTACAGAAATAGTTTTTTTTTATTTTATAGAGAATATTGATTCCGTTTCAGTTCATTTGAAAACTCAAGATCAGCTAGCGAAAGTGAACGAAATGTCTACTTTGCGTTACGTCATTGTTATTGACTGATAAAAGTGCTTAATACAATTAAAAATGCTGCCAGCAGTTTTGGTCATCAACGTTTTTAATGCAATTATTCATCACGATTTGGCAATATTTTGCGATGTTATTTGCCTTCAACCGTTTTACTCCGTAAATGTGCGCTTTCTAATTTTCTATCACTAGAGTAGAGAA